ATAATCTGAGTATGACTTAGTAATTCGTAATAGGTAGTTTAAACACCTAACTGATTTGTCCTTATTCAAATTATCTAAAACCTAAGTGGCATTTGCACGAAGTCAACATATCAACTCTTTGATCTTCATGTGAAGGGAACTCAATTAACAGTTTAGCCACTGAGCGTAAAGTACTCTTAGGAGTTACATCCTTCCAGGTACTCCATCAAATTAACGGAACTTAATAAAATTATAATCTGTAATGTAATACTGTAAGTAGTAAATTACATAATGTTATTTTCAAAAAACAGAGGATTATACCATCACTGGATAAAAATTTTACCTGAAGATGATTTCGTATTCTACTGCTTTCCTTCGTTAATTGTTTGTGACATTGTTGGATAACGTTAAGTACTACAAAGAGAGGAAGCGTTTCAAGCTTGCTCAATTTATTTAAATTAGATTGGGTAAACCTGTGATGGCAGGTACGACGATCATTGAACTAATAAGAGGACCTAACAACGGCTTGATCAATTTAATGAAGCAATTCATCAGGTCCTGACGATGTGTAGCTATTAACCATTTAAGCGAATTTAACAAATCCAGAGCTTTATCCTTGTAACACAGAGAAAGAGGTTTAACTTTAAACAACTTCAGAGAGACATAATACTGAAAGCAAGATCATTCAAAGAAAAATTCATTATAATGTAAAATGAAACAGTTATGCTTATGATTGTTTAACAGACAGCATCAAAAGTGTTTTTACTTCCTTGTATGAAGTAAAGGAAGTATAGTACACAAAAAATATAGGATATCATAATCGAAGAAAATATCCAATCTGATTGTTCGCGAATCCATTTGGATGATTTTGTTATTGTCGTCTCTAAGTTCAGATAGTAAAAAATAAATCTTTTTTACAAAACTGATTGTGAAATAAATTCAGAAGGTATTTTTGTGACGACTGTAGGTATGTACGTACGTATGCATTTATGCATGCATATATGTACCTCGCATAATTCAAAAACGTTTAGTTGTCGAAATTTGAAATTTTGTATATAGAACTGCTATAGCATCTAGTTGTGGAACTCCTTTTTCCTTTTAATCAGCCTTACCATGCGTGTATGCATATTACGCGCATAATAATCCTCATATTTATATTTAAGTCCTTACCTGATCTTAGTTTCACAGTCGTTAGTCATAGTCATACATTTTACAATTACAGAGGTGTTTTTAAATGAAGAAAATATTCATACGATGTCAAAATTAAAAAAATTAATTTCGTCAAATAACGCAGTCTATAGAATAACAGTTTATATATGTAGCTAGTGTAACAATACATATCTAATAATATGAGTTCATTCTTGTAAATATATAACAGTATATAAGTTTATTGTTATTCTATAAAAATATTTAATTGGCTTCAAAAAGATGTCATGTGATGGCCATGTTACCGCTAAAGCTGAACGTCGTTTATGTGCACATTTTCTAGCTAATCTGCAGATTAACGTATTTGCTCCGTTATAGTGCGGTATCAAGAATTTTCCGGATTTTACTCTGGTAATGTGCACATTAACGGCTTTCGTATCGTTTAATTTAAAACATTCATTTCTCTCATTTACTTTCCCTACTCCTGAATGTTTGTTTCATTGTATTAACTTTGGATATTTATTTATTACAAATTGCCATAGACGTGTTTATTAATTAAAATATATTTTTCTCCTTTTCTTAAATTTCCTTGAAAGAAACTTGCATACTTTTAAATTTGTGAAACATTGTTTTGATTTTTGACATAAATTCTGAATGAGACTTTTGTAAGTGATTAATTACTTTTGATTTTTGTAGTAATTTTGAATGTATATTATCTTTAAATGTATGTAGATACCAAAGGCAGTTAGTTACTTATTAAAAAAGCTTGAAACGCAGTACTTAAGAAAGACAGCAGCTTACTTAGATTGACAGCGTAATTAATATGTACCACTTTTCCTGTTAAATACTGGCAACTTATATTGTGGATATTTTACATGCATTTCATGAAATAAATATTACTTTTTAAAACAAAGCGTTTTTCATTAAAGGTCTTCCAAAGTGTTTTTCATCGTATTGAAATTTTTTATTCAAAACGCATATTCATTACTTACCGTGCGCCTTTGCATTTATTTTGTTTTCATTTTTTTAGCCTTAAGGGAATTACTTTTTGTATTAAAATGAAATTTGTTTTCAGCAAACAAGGAAAGAGCAACACAGACTTCATTAACTGACTTCAAAATATAAAAACGAGGTCATTCAGAGTTAAGATGCATTACTTTTATTTGATTATCTAGAACTTTTACTCTTTTTATGTTCTCCAGATTAAATTTCTTTTCTCATTTTTAGCATACAAGAAGATGTCTTTATTTATTCGTTTATCTTAAAACCTACATCAATGTATTTGAATAATGCATATTGATAATTTAGCTCACGTGTATGTAGAATTATTAAATTCGTTAATAAAATGCTTTTACTGAGGTCTTTATTGAGAGATTCATTTAACTTTACATTATGTCTGCACGGGAGATATTATTTTGAAAGATTTTGGGGTCGAGAATAAGGTCTCTAAGATACACATTAATATTAAAATTTCTTTGGTCTATGAGTATGTAATGTCCAAATCATCGGACAGAATTCTAAACGTTTTTAATTACGTTTAATGCATTTTATATAAAGCATTTCAAGAAATACTTAGATAACACCAGCAGCAAAAATTAGGTTTGGTTAATGTCATAGATGTCACTTAACGGCTTCGTTTAAGGAAACATATATTTAGCATTCTAAACTCAAGGAAATTCAATTCTAAAGGATATGCAAGGAAAATTTAATAATCTAAGCTGAATAAAAATTATAAAGCATGAAAAAGAAGTTAATAGCAATACACTGGTGTGCAAAAATTAAGGACGAGATGGTTTTTTCAATATAACTTTGTACAAAAGCTTTCCGAATCAACACATTTAATACCGTAAGATCCCCAATACGTAAGGACATGAGTAATGTAAGCAACACTTACTAAAAGAGAAATCAGAGGGATAAAAAGAAGCTTTATTGAAAAAGTAGCATGGAGTGCAATGCGACTGAAGGCCGAAACATCCCGGTGATGGGTGTACAGCAAGAAACATCCGGTCTTTAATAAGGGATATGATCTCCCCTGACTGCTAAGCAGGTTTCACAGCGTCTGCCCATGCTGAGAATGAGGGTGTCAATGAGTTGTTGAGGCATTGCTGCCCATTTGTCTTGCAGCGCCAATCGAATCTCCGGAATCGTTACTGGTGGTAAGGTACGAGCTGCCAAGCGTCTGCCTAGAAAATCCCATACATGCTCGATGGGATTGAGATCCGGAGATCGTGCCGGCCAATCCATACGTTCAATATCCTCACTCTCTAAGATCTGTTCGGCAGCTACTATGCGATGACATGGTGCATTGTCGTTCATGAAAAGGAACTGCGGACCCGTAGCGCCTCTAAAGAGACGCACATATGGAAGAAGAATCTCGTTACAATAACGGGTCCCGTTGACTGAACCTGCGTCGAAGATGTGAAGGTCTGTACGACTAACAAGCATGATGCCTCCCCAAACGAGAACACCGCCACTCCCTACCTGTCCCTTTCAATGACGTTCGAGGGATGATTGCGGCTTCCCCGCTCTCTCCAGATGAGTATGCGATGAGAATCGCTACTCAGACTGAATCTGCTCTCATCTGTAAAGAGTACTCGTCCCCATTCATTGTCTCTCCAATTCAGGTGTTCCCGGCACCACAGAGAACGCCTTCTCCGATAAGCAGGCATTAGAGGTACACACCGTACAGGGCGTCGTGCAAACAGACCACCACCGTGCAGTCTTCTGGCCACGGTAAAACGCGAAATCTGTCGTCCAGTCGCCTGTGTCGTGTGTCTAGCGATTTCTCCCACTGTCTGCCGCCTGTTTCTTCTGGCCTGTAAGGCAATATACCGGTCATCTGCGGGTGTGGTTTCTCGTGGACGACCACTACTAAACCCACGGATAGCTGTTCCTGTAGTTTGAAATTGTCTCCAAAGTCGTGAAACGATGCTGTGAGCAATTCCGAACTCTGCAGGCACACTTGTCATACTGCAGCCTTCCTCCAACTTCACAATGATTCGACCTCGGGTAAAAGCATCCAGATGTCGTCTAACAGACTGATTATTCGCCATTTCTCGCTGAGGCAGCAACTCGGTGTGATTTTAACTGCTATACGGCGTGCAATCTCTTTGCCAAAAATACTGATCTTACACCGACAACATGCTTTATACTACTCAGACACTCCCCCCATTACGTCTACCTGCATATCTGCGCATGTGCTACCGTAGATCGCCTTACTTAATCTCCTGATTGGTCGTTCTGTTCGCTCTGCCGCTTCGTTCAGCTGATATGCTAATTTTTCGACTTCGTCCTTAATTTTTGCACACCAGTGTATATCACGTAATACCAATTCTGTAATGAAGATCGAAATTACGATATTTGCACAAAATTTTATTTAAATATTTTCTTGTAGGATGTGTTTAACAAAATCTGGTTAATTGATTAATGAACCGAAAAATCAATAATAATCAGCAGGCGAGATAGAGAAATTTAATAGTTAATTTCATTTTAGTCTAAGATATTCCTGTTCTCTAACGCAAAATTTCAAACCTTCCTCAATTTATTCAGTATGTCTATAAACATATATATTATATATTTTATTGTTTCTACGAAAATTTAGAGCTTGTTTATGACTTTAAGTATCTCAAATACGGAGTTTATTAACATTTGTTCAAGTTAAAATAATGTGGAAAAGAAACTATGAAGAATTATGTTAATTTTATGAGTTAAAAACAGAGAAAAATAAATGAATATTTTTCTTTACTTATTACGTTCTCTCCCATTAGTTTCAGTTTCGAATTATATTTACTGAATATTTCTATTTCAGTTTATGCATTTTAGAGTTAGATATATTCAGTTAATGCAGTTTTAGTAAAAGTATAATTCTTTTTCAGGTAAAGCTACGGTTGTTAGATTCCACGTGACAGTGCTTAGTTTGGATACAATAGATGAAGGATCCATGGTAAATATTTTGAATTTTATTGTCATTTAAAAAAAAATCAATCAAATCTAAAATTATATCGTTAGAAGTATTTGTAATTTCAACGAAGGTTTTAAGCTATATGTAAATATTGAGTTTTCCTTTCATAAGAAAGCATTCTAAAAGCTTTTACAGATGCACTTAGAATTGCAAAAATTCTTTAACCGCATTACATAAATCGCAATAGAACATTAAATCTGTTAAATAAAAGAGCCTTTTATTGCGTCATAATTTTATAAACTCTGAAAACTTGATAAATTATGATTGACTATGAGATTTGTAATGTTAGTACAACTTGATCTTTTGTGTATTACTATAAGAAATATTAGTTACATATCATAAAAACCTCATGTTTAATAAAATTAATATATATGTAATATTGTGGCACTCGGGCACATGAGTGAAGCTTGTCAATCTGGTCACATCAGAATTCCGGACATTGTTGTGGCTAAGTGTAATCTAATGACGACACAGACGAATTTAACTTCTTAGCTCCATATTTTTATTCACTGCAAATGGCAGATCATTCAAGATTACATATGTGATAGTAATTTAGACTGAATACGATTAACCTTAAATTTACTGCGTCATACTATTCAAACAAAGAAAGAGCGGCAGCAAAAAGGTGTTACAGAGAGCGGCAGGCGAAGAAAAACAATCTGACGAAAAATGGCGCGAACTCTTCATTTATTGCAGCGGTTACGTAACATGCCCGAATGTTCTCGAAAGTACTGGTCCAAGGAAAGATCCTGAAATTGCGGAAAGTTAATTAGAGGTTGCCTGTTCGAGTAGAGCAAAGCCATTGTATTTTTTATATTTTACACACACACGCATATATATATGAATATATGAATGAATATATATATATATATATATATATCCATACACTTTTCAAGAACTCCTTTGAATTTAGAAGCTTAATAACTTTTATTATAAGCAATCAGAATTTAAAATAAAGCAGGCTGATGAATGCATTGTTTATTTTCATAGCATTATTGTGTTATAAAATTCAAGTAGAATGTCACTTCTTACATTATTTAAATATGGAGCAATGAATATTAAAATTTCCGATAAATGTTATCCACTTGCTTCTATTCGTAATTAAAACTTAGCACGTTGCTTGTCTAACAGACTTTTTTAGTTTACAGAAAAGAAAGATGCATACATTTTGTTTAGAAGACAACATATAATGTTTAAAGTAAGCTAACAGTTTATCTCACTTTTTAAAGTGGTTGGAGAATGTTACATGAATATAAATAATTCAGAAATCTAAAACTAAACTAAAAAAGTAATACGTATTTTTAATATAAATTTTTAAACTTTTAATTAGAACTTGAACGACACATTCTTAAAATAAAACAGAGATTTTCAACTTAAATTAAAGACTACTGAATAAAGTTGATGTATACAGCAATGACGTATCTTTTTTAAGAAAGCGTAAAACCTACAGCTAACTACTTAACACAGGTTGGGTTTCACTAGAATATCAATTTACTGGTTTTTACTTTCAAAAACAAGTTTTATGAAAACTAACAAATATTTTTGAACAACAATATGCTAACCTTTTACTTTTACTCTCCCTATAAATTAAAGCAGCTCTAGAAAATGGATTGGATTGGATTATTCATTTATGGCAAAGCACACGAGGGCTATCTGCCTAAAGGGAGGGATGCCTTCGTGGAGGACTTTCTAAGGGAAACTGGTTCGTATATACGTTACACATGGGGAAAACCACGTAAACGCCCATGCAGCCAGCCCGTTCGAGGGATTCGAAACTCAGACCGAATTACCAGTGTTCAGCGTCTTTACCGCTCGGCCGCTAGTGGGCCCAGAAAGTATATTGACCCGTTAGCTGCCGAGCGGCGAAGTCACTGAACACTAATAGTTCAAATCTTGAGAACGGGTTGACTGCATGGTTATTTTTGTGTTTTTGCCCATGTATAACGTGTATACGAGCCAGTTACCCTTAGAAAGTCCTCCACGAAGGCATATCCTTCCTCTCGAGGCTTTACCGTAATCACATAAATCAAATCAAATCTAGAAAGGGGATTATAAAATAACAAATAATTAAGTTAGACTTCAGAAATTGTTTCATTCTGAAATGTTCAGTATTTTCGTAAAGCATACACATGCTTCTGGTCATCCAGAAATACTAATTATAAAAGCTGGTTGTTAAGTTGTAGATAAGCAGTTCAAATATAAGAATTAAATTTTAATTTGGCAAATCTAAGCTATTTCCTACTCTTCGAAATTTCAAAATATCGTTTCAATAGCAGGTTCTGAAATTAGAAATATTAAAAAGTTAGCAACATATAGGAAACACTATTTAAGTACTCAAGACATTCGTTTTAAATGAAAGCGTTTTCGAAATCATTTTATTGTAGAAAGGTGCCCTTTATAATAGACATACAGTAGAATTTTGTTACGTCATCTTGCTATGCCGAAGAATTAGATTTATCTTTGATTACAATCTTGTTCTTCCCCATCCCCCAAATATTTTAACTTTATATTATTATATGAACGTGAGTTCAATTAGTTTTAGATTTAGTTCAAGTATTAATTTTAAATTAATAATTTTTTTTAATTAATTACTAATCGTTCACTGGCATATTAGAATATAAATAGTTTGATTATAGCCTAAATTTAAAATATAATTGTAATTACAGTAGAACGTTAAAACAATAAAATGTTGTGAAACAAAGAAGCATTAAAAGCATACCAAAACCCTTTCCAAAATTTATGTTTAGTACTTTCATTTTGTTCTCCCACGTCTATGTCGCAACCTACGCAATATACATGAGTTGTTTGTTTTTACACCTTAAACGAAAAATATCTCAAAATCTAATATTTGTTTTTTGAAACATTTGGTTATGTTCCATTTTGACATGCGCACCCGTAATTCATAACAGCATTACCTTCTTTTACTGCTATGATCTTTTCTACGAAGTATCATTTCGCAAAATCTCCACTGTATAAAATTACTTATACATTTTCATTTCCAGTATTCGACACACACTATAATTGAAGATCTTTCATCTGACTTGATGCAATTTTATGAATTTCCGAGAAGTAATAAGAAAGGAATATTACATATCTAGGCTTCAGAAATCATACGTAGGTAGATTCAGATATTTCCAGCCTTAGATACATCTAACAAATATAAAGAAACTTTCGGTCGTTTATTTTTCAATATATCCTTTTTGCACCTCGAAATACTTTTCATATCATTTAATTAATATGTCCGTGCGCTTAATAGCTGAAACAAATTTTGTATTAGTTATTCCTCTTTTCAGACTATCATCATCATTAAATCTCTTTCGACGAAGATGTAGTTTCAGTCCAAAGAATAGATAATAGTTCGTTGGTATAATAACATCTAAGTTAAATCTTTGCTTTATGAGGAATGACGACGATTTTTAAACCGACACTGCTCTTTATGAACTGTATTGAGACGCTGCTGTTTTTCAGTTGCTGAAAGAAATTGAGGTACTTTGCAAAAGCTTTACTCGTGGGAAGGTGCTCGTATATAATGTGCGAAACATTATATACGAGATTTATATTTATTTACATGAATCCAATCTTGCTGCTACCACTTGGAATTTTAATCTACTGTCAATCATTATTTCGTTCTGTACACGTACACTGTTTCCTGGTATATTGTTCAATGGAATGATACTGATCACTAGAATCATTATTAAAATGCTTCTAATGATCTACCTACAGTAGAATATTTTTTGACGAGTTCTTGCCCCATGAAAATGGTTTTACCTTTTCTTTCGCTTTAGAAGAAGAGAGAACCAACGTGCAATTCATCGAGGTCATGTTCATTTTTTTAGGGTTAAGCTCTTCTTAGTCGAAAATACAGGTTGTTTCTAAATGGATATCGGGTTTTTAGTATTTATTACGTAAAACTTAAAATTAGAATTAATGCATGAAATGAAAAAACGTTCTGTTTATTGGTCAGTACAGGCTCCAAAACCTACAGACCATAGTTTACGTGCCAACTTTGCACATGAAATGCTGTTGTACAAAGATTTTCTCGATCATGTTGGTTTCAGTGATGAATCGACATTTCACCTCAGTGGACATGTGAACACACATAATATGCGCGTCTGGGGCTCCGAAAATCCTCACGAGATGGTACAGTTTCAAACAGACAAACCCAATTGTTACCAATTTCCCCACCTTGTAGCGAACAATTACATCACAAACACTAATCAACGTTTGGGAAGAACTGGGCTATTGACTTGATATGCGCCGTGTGACGAAAGGTGCTTACACTGAACACTTGTAAGCTTGTAAGTATAACTGTTTGAGTTAGTCTTTCATTTCATGTATTAATTATAATTTTACGTTTTACGTAATAATTGATACAAAGTGTTAAACCCCGATATTCATTTAGAAGCATACTGTATAATCACAGAACGGTACTCAGGTTTAAACGTTTCAATACAAATAAGCATTTTTTTTTTTTTTGCTCGATAAACAGTAAAAAATATGCATATGATTTCTGTAATAAAACTTTCCAAATTATTCATTTTTTATTGTTATTAGATGTCTGCGAGAGGTATTTATTTCCAAATAACTTTTTTATATTGGCACATGGGACAGCAGTTATTTACGAAACTGTGAAGCATGCACAGGCATTATATACTAACTGTCTAGAAATTTCAGCACCCCCACAGAGTTCCAGACGATCTCTAGAGTCTGCAAGTGTAAACGCTTGATTTGTTCCATAAACCTGGCCCTGACATCGCCAGTGGATTACTTGTAAACCCATCTATTAGTCAATGTGCTTTAGGGTATCTTGACACATTATCACATAGATTTGCACTTTATACTGTATGCATAATATTGCTACAGTAATACCTGGTTCAAAATTTGCTTGCTATTTTCAATTTTATTTGAAGTGCCTTTGCTTTTACTTTATTCCATTCTTGTTTTAGATACCCACAATTTTATTTTATTGATTTGGTTTGGTTCTTTTATTTTAAAAGTCTCCTTGCAACATTGTTGTATTTTAGTTGTTAAAACCTTAGCAACTTCTTTAACTTCTCTTCTTGAGTTAACAAGTTTTATCTTTTGACGAATAAAATATAGTTCTTTAGGCCATTGAATATAAGAAAACTTATTGCAGTCGCCTTTTTTAATCTTGTATCCTTTAATCGTAATATTTGAGTTTGCGTTTCCTATTTCAAATGAAATAACCTCATGATCAGAAATAACTAACTCTTCATGACTTGCCAGTTAATATTATTGTTGCTTAAATGATATCTTGATATAGTTGGGCCTTCATTTTGCTTTAGCTATTTCAAATGTTGGAGGAGCTAATCTGTTAGTATGTAGAGTAACGTTTTAGCAAAGATAAAATCTTCTACGATGGTTCCTCTGATGTGGCTTTTTTGGATACCCTAGAATAGCATTGTGAGAGTGCAAGTCCTCTATAAAAAGATTTTAAAAACTTACAAATAAGGTCTTCAAGAATATTCAAACTAATATTGATGTCTTCTTTTTATGAGGAATATGCAGAGATAATTAATTAAAATGCGCTTTTATTCGTTATTTAGTGAAATTGTGATAATGTTTCAATTTGCATGAATTGTAATTAAAAGAGTATTAAAGTTTTATTTTTGTATGCTAGGATCGCTCTAGCCGAGAGGTTTTCTTTTGTGTTCTATTGATAAATATCCCACTTATTTGGAAATTCATAGAAATTGTTTCTAATGCAGTACGGTTCTTGAAGCACAAATAGGTCGAAGATCGTTTCGGAATCAAAATGGGTTAACATTGCTGTATAATATTTCGCCTTTTAGAGATTAATTTGAAAATGGTTTTGGGTTGTATTGACATATTTGAGATTTAGATTTGCATTTTGATGTTTACTATTCATTATCTACATACTCAGTTCTATTTTTAAACTTTTGAATTTCATATAGGAAAAAAGAGCATTTTAATGAGTATGAAAGATAGTTTCATATTTAGAACTCCTTATATTATTGCATAATATGTCCAGTTTATGCATTTGGCTATTTCTCTTGTGCGTGTTGCCGATGGAAGTATTAGACTGCAATGTGCACAGCACTTTCTGTATAGGCATTTGTTCTTTTAGTTGCCAAACTCTTAGCATTTAGAATATCTTGGTAGGCCTATATAGTCATAGTTTGCCATCCTACTATTATACATCTACTTTTTACTGCTTTTTGAAACGCTAATGATGAGATTTTTTTATATAAGAAATTTTTATGTAGGAGGACGAAAACTTTTGAAATTACCTACATATCTTAACCCATTAATTAATTACACTTTTATTTAAATTTTTACTTTGGCTTAAAAACCTGCTCACTAAATTTCTTGTTATATATACAAACCATTGAAAATAATATATTAAGACAAATATTAATTTAGGAAGTATATTCAAAAATGAAAAAATCTTTTCTAAGGATCAACTGGAATTTTAGCTTTGTTAATACCGAAAATAGTCCATGTAAAGACAATTTTAAGAAATTTGAGTTACCCCTTCAGAAATCTATTTATTAATAACAGATTTTGAGAGTTTTTGGTATCAAGTTCTTAGGAAAATGTTCATACATTAATCGTCGTAGTTATTTTTATGCATTTTACATTTGCCATTTTTCAGAATATGCATGCATAAAATGTACCAATAATATTGTCAGTATTATTTTCTTTATCAACTATTTTACTTTCAAAATATATGTATGTCTAAAGTAACAAGAAAATGTTTGTTGAATGCTAACAGAACGAAATTAACTGCTTACTCTATAGACCTATGTCGCAGATATTTTTATGTCTCAAAGTTGGAAAGATCACAGACTACAACTGCCAGAAAATATGACAACGAAATATCGCCTTCTGCCAATTAGTTGGTTGAAGAAAATGTGGCGACCAGATTCGTTTTTCAAAAATGCCAAAAAAGTTACATTTCAAGAAATGACTATTCCTAATCATTACATCTGGCTGTATAGTGACAAGACCATCCTTTACATGGTCAAGTGAGTAACAAATTTAGATAATATTTCCTTTTCAATCTTTTGCTTTCAGTTTCAGTCTTTTTATTATTGGCACTGCAAATGTCTTACGCGTACTACCGGTTGAGAATCAAGAGAAAAATAGGTGGTACTCAAGAGAAAAATAGGTGGTACTCAAGAGAAAAATAGGTGGTACGCAAAGAAACAAAGTATTTTTAACTATTAAATTAAGGAATCTCGTGAAGAAAAAGAACAATTGATGGAAATTTTCTGTAATCGAACTCTAAGTGAAGATTTCAAAAATAACACACTCGTTAACTTTTCACTGAACCAAAAAAAATTGTTTCTTGGTTCAGTGGATCAGTTTTCTGGTTTTTGGTTCAGTGAAGTTTGGTGAGTGAAAAAGAATTTAAAAGCATTTTAAATAAGGCTATTAAACTTTTATTGCCTTCTTCCACAACCTATTTGTGCGAACAAGGATTTTCTTCCATTTATTTGAAAAATAAATACAGAACAAAATTAAAATTGGATCCTAATTTATGGTTAAAACTAATCGAACTAAGATCATTGAAATTACCATAACTAGGGACCATAACGAAACTGATCTCTCTTAAACAGGTCCAAACTTTACGCTAAATTTTAGAATTAAAGTATTATAACTTAAGTTTTGCTAATTAAAATGGCAATTAATTTTAATCTAATATTTTTGTGTGCATATTTAATGCAAATATGCAATGCAAATGGCAATTATGTATATACGTTTTTAATATTTCTATTGAGAAATTGAAAAAAAATCATTACAAAATGTAGTGGTGGTACTAAAGTTTTCCAATTTGTGTTTAGATGGTGCGCGTTAGTCAAAATGTTGAGAACTGCTGATCTACGTAAATTTAGAACTACTGATTACTCTGCATTCAGCAAAAGAAATGGAGTTTACACAGGAGAAAATGTATTAGTATTAGACCGTCCACTAAGACAGCCATTGTTTGTCAAGCACAGTTCTCACTTTAAAAGCTGAGTGAGCTAGAAATTAAGAAGATTTAATACTTAAAAATATAATTCTGACTTTAAACCTTACTATGGAATATTTTAATAAACTGGTGTAAACACAAAAGATTATTTGTTAAAAACTTAAATTTGAATAATTTTATAGTTTATGTGTTAATTTACACTTTAAAATGTAATCTCCAAACTAACTGAACTTCTAAGCTATATTTGAGTCCACAGCAAAAATATCAGAGTATTTTTTTTTCTGTTATTCATTTAACGTGACGAAAATGTTATTCAAATAATGTGACGAGGATTCGTATAAAGTGATGAAATAAGATATGATTTTTATCACATCTCTACATACACCGTATCTTTATTTTTGTCTTGAGATCAGTTTTCGAATATCTAGATATTTAATAATGTTATCTGTTCCATAGATACGAGGAATACATGAAACTAATGTATACAGCAGGTGTTTATATAGATTTAGAACAATTTCCAGGCTGCTTAATAAATGTTTAAAATTGAAACTTAATTTTTTAATGTTTGATCTTATAGCCATTTTCTGGACTGCATCGTTTACACGTCTATATTGGGATTTTCCTAATAGATGGGCTTTTCGTAAAACAACAGGAGTATTGATTTCTTAATGAGTTTGCTGTTAGAAGGAGCTCATTTCATGTGATTAAAGTCACAATAGCCCATAACGACGTCACAGGACATCAGGGGACATCACAGGAATACACTGAAAAGATATATATGCGATACTTGTATCAGTCTTCATTTTTTACTAGGAATGCTTCGATGCTTTTCGAACAATGAGTTGTTGCTTAGTCTCCATGAAATTTCACTCTTTGAAAGACAATCCGACAAAGAAATGGGATATCTTCTCTGCGTATCGGACTTAAAACACTCCTCTGAGAGTACATTATTTTGATTTAATATTTTTCTCATTCTTAATTTTAATTCCCCACTATAAGTCAATGCTACTACAATCATAAATTTCTCACTGAAACTTTCTTTTTTGTACTGATAGAACTAGGTTTGTATATTTTCGGTCCTTCATTTTCGATAATAAACTAATCTTTTTTTGTTTATCATTTAGGTAAACCCAGGCCTCATCGAAGGTCCTAATGTATTTGCATTTATCTTCCGCCAAATAGTTTTCATACAGGGTTCTATGAATTGTTCTTCGTTGAGCGATATACCTAGGCAAAAGCTGATGAACATTATGATTTTTAGCTTTTTAATTATAAATCTCCATTTTATTATTTTATTTATTGCTGCTACAGATGTATTTAAAGATTCTGCTTCGGTGGATTTTCTCTTGATACTAATGATTTAACGTTAGAAATATTTGAAATAGTTAAGTACCTTTTTCTAGTATTCGTTTGGATACTTCATTCCATGTAAAAGAAATGCTTGACGCTTCTCCGTTTCCAATTAATAATGTTGCTTAGATTCAATTAATAATGTACATACAATGTACAATACCTTGGATTTCACAACGTTTTTTTATCATGGAACATGAATATTTCTCTTCGAAAATTCTGTTCACTTGAGGCATTTTGAAGGAATAAATTTAAAAGCAGTGGATAATATTTCTCGTTCTAAATAATAGGTTGTTGTCATAAATGATTATTCCAAAACATTTGCTTTTTGTTTAATACTTTGTCGAAATTGTAGTTCTCAAAAATGTGTTTAACACCTTCTGTACATGTGATCGTTTTAATTGGTAACCGTTTTATATTTCACACACACCAAAAAAAATTACATTGACGTGTATGAAATGGTTTCGTATCAATCAAGTGTCAGTAGCCCTAAATGTCCATCTAGGTTTCATAGAATGGTTAGGGCTGTAATTAGTAGTCTGTAATGTTTAATTTCTTATTTCAACAGTAAACTTGCCTAGAGTTTTACTTCTAGACTTTTGTGAATTACAGTTAATTTTATTAATTAATTCATCTAAAACTGGTGGTTTAAGGCATATGAAAAAAATGCGGAGCAAGTTTAAAATTAAATCGAAAGCTCGGAATACAGGTATATTTGCCTATGGATAAAAATCTAAAGTTTAACTGAAATTCTGACACTATTGATAAAAAATATCAGTCTTAAGTTCACGAGAGCAAAATGCATATTAACTCGTTAATGACTAAATTATTTTTTTCAAGCGCATTTGGCTTACTGTCAGGAATGTAACAGCTGCTAAACGATAAAATAAATGACCTCTGAAAATGTGATTTTTCCCCTTCAGATTTTTTTAATTTTATCTTCTTTACATACCTTCAAAATTAAAATTGCTTTACCGATATGAAGTTATGCTATTCTACAAATAAAATACACTGCAATAAAGGATTAAATCACATGAAAAGTATGGACGTATAATTTTCCAAGTGCATCTAAATATTTTAAGTATTTATTCGTTTTCATATACTTTGAACTAATGTTAATTATCATAGGGAAATAATCATGATTTGTGTGTTTTGAGATTTTAATAGATTCCAGTAATATTTGAGAATGTGTATCCTTAAAAATGTGAGCTATTGACATCATTATGCATTTAATACTACACCTGAGCGTTCTTTGAAACATTTGCTGACACCTACACGAAAAGAAACATTTAATGATTTAAATGCATAAAGTAGTTAATAAACTGCTTTCATGTATTTAATATTCATGTACTTTTACTCTAATTTTTATTTCAGAAAATAACAGACTAATAATTGATTTAGTTCCCGATTAAATGGAAAAGTTTTACGTATTTATATTGATACTGAATACAGGACTTCCATTAATGCAATCAAAGAAAATCAAAGGACGCTATTTTTAATCCCAAAAACGTAACTCTGCATCAGCAGGAGGATAACGTCATTATTACTGCAATAGTGGTATAGCAAAAGAGGAAGAAAAACTGGATTAAATTTGTAATGAATTAGACACATGGTGGGTACTTTCGCCCGATCCTCGTAGGTACTCCCTTTCTTATCTCATGCAAGATTTTGTAGAAAACTAAATACCATTCCTTCCTAATGACAGTTGCCTCAATTTTAAAGCAAGAATAGCTTTGAATATCATTTATTGTAATAACAACGATGATATGTATTTAGTAACCAAAACAAATAGATATAGAGGCACGTCGTACGTAATGCACTTTGTATGAACAACTTTAAACGTATAAAAGTAATTTCAGGTTTACCTAGCGACTAAGTCTACCTACTTGAACTGAGGATAAAATAATCGTTTTCATTTCTTAAAAGCCATTCTTAGAACTTTTCTCGTTACTTATAGCACGTATTAAATCATGTCTTAAAATGTGTAAATATTCTATCTGGACAAGGTAATTTAATCTTATTCAGCAAAAATTGATCTTTAGCAGAAACCACGTGTACAAGAAGGGATTTTTTTAATTAAATAGTCTAAAGTATAATTTTAACCATTTAGATATTTATCATTCTATTTATTAATTTTTCTTTCAGATTAACGCTTCTGTTGTCCTGTGCCATGAAATTCGAATCCTATCCACACGACACACAGGTTTGCACAATGAAAATTGAGAGTTGTAAGTATGATTCTTTTCCGAAATATTCTTCTTTTGTAGCTGAAAAATACCTTTCCATTAAAGTGAAAACTAATTTACATTTTTATACATCTGCCTTGCATTAACATTATTATGAGGATAATCATATGTATATAAACAGACGAAATTCTTTCTAACTATACGATTTGCAAGATGGATTATGAAATTTTGTACTAAGATAGAACCCTGAGCTTAATTATTTCCCATAAATCTAGTGCAGCTGATCTTAAACAAAGTGATTTACTTGTAAATATCACAATTGAGACAAATTACGTAAATAAAGGTTTATGTTTAATAAATAAGATTTAAGAAAAAAATTTAACAATCATATGAGAACAGAACTTTATTTAATTCTTCTAATTTATTTAAAATCTGTATTTAAATTCTTCTTTCTCTGTAATTCCTCCATTCGCTCATTTCTTTCCTACGGTTTTCTTAATATAAACCTGTTGAAAAAGTTCTTCAAGTTTTTTAATATGTTGGCTTTGATGCTCACATATATAACATACCTGTTATAATTTTTTTTACTATGGAAAATGTGCATATTAAGTTTGAAATATTAAATTTTATGAATGAATTTCATTTGCTTAAACTGCATTTATGTAGTATATTTGCAATTTGTTATTACAGGAAAACTAATTTGAAAATTAGATTTCATATGTTTAATAAGTATTTCGATATCTAAAATAGCAAAAAGAAAATAAAATTCAAATAGATAAATGTTATATTTTATAAAATGTAAATATAATACAAAAAAATGTTACAAAGACTAATGAATATCACTTTAAACTAAAATTATTACGTGAAAAAGTGCGTTTAAACTTTAAACACTGAAAAAGTGCGTTAAACACTGAAAATTAATTTTTGCCTTAAATATTCGCATAAATGTAATGAAAATGTGTACGATTAAACTATTACTCTCCAAAAACAAACTTTAATCTTTTTTATTCCGTGCTTTAGAATTCCATTATCCGTTTTTTGTACTTCATCAGAAAATTACAGTCATTGTACTACTTTTGCAATATAACTGTAGAATATTTTTAGCTTCTAGTGCAGTAGTTCCCTTTCACCATTGCTAGATGATCATTTTCCCTCCCGTTTCCAAAACTCGAAATATGCATGTATGTTATTATTTCTCAAGTCACGCTTGAACAAGTCTCAAGTCAAGCGAGCAAGTCAAGCTAGCCACATTTCCCCTCACCCACTGAAAGTATTAAATTCCCCGTCTGGCTGAGAACCCCTTTTCTGGTGTTTGTCCTATTGTGCAGATTATTTTATCCTTAGCCATTCCCATATTATATTCGCTTGACTACATATCCTATGAGTGAAAATATCAGCCTCCATTCTTTCAGGGGTAACGTAGATATTGCCATCGATGCCTATAATAATCCAGTCATCCATCTGCTCAAACTTTAGAGAACTTTCTTCGACAACACGAAAATGTTTCCAAACTGCATTTAAATTATATCGTTGTGATGTGTTTTTATCATCATTAATATTCGGTTTCAAGCTTTACTGAATCATACCTGTTCACCTCTTTTGTGAAGAGGAGCGGAAACTGGACTCCACACTCATTAAATAATCGACGCCTCCATTCGAGACAAGACATTTATTCCTACTCACTATACATATACTATGATACAGAAAAATTAGAAAGATTAAACATCGCCCTCTTACAGAGAGCAATGGATGACGTAACACTCTGGGCCCCCATTACCCCGTCATCAGCTCAACTAGAAATATAAACTGAAATATAAATGCAACACATAAAAAATAAGCAAATTGTAAATATAATTACAAACATGGAAGAAATAATTTAATCAATCATTTACAGGAAGTTTATTAGTTTATGTATTGGTCGTTTCATTTCACCTAACGCAGTTTTTGAGTTGACTGACCTTACTCTTTGGTCAGTTCCCTTATAAGTGCAAATTACTTTTGCCATCTTCCACTTAAGTAGCGGCAAGTTCTCATCCTTGATTAGCACCAAGTCATTCACATGTAAATCGGCACTGGGAAATTCCCACTTCTTATGAGAGAAGACTTTGATTTCGAAATCAAAGCCTTTGAGTCTGCTATTCATCGTCAGATCCCAAGTCTGCTAGACTCAAAGAAAATCAAATACTACATTCATATGCTACCGGACGAGTAACATATCAAAGCAGTGATTCGCAGCATCCCGACATACTACAACCCTGTCGAGATTTGAGAAGCTTTAACAGAGCTGGGCTACCAAGTGACCTATTATTACAAGGAAAATTCCACTTTCGATTTACTACGTGCAGAGATTTGGATTACTACGTGTAGAGATTTGAACAGTATTTTAGATTGATCCTTTGTTTCACTTGCCAAGCATTTGGACATTCGAACACAGTCTGTGAAAAAGAGAGAGCCTGCGCCCGGTGCTCTTCTAATCATCAAATTAAAAATTGCTCAGCTCCACCCAATTGTGCTAATTGTGTAAGATCAATTATTTTTTTACCGCGATTTCCAAAACGATTGGGATATCTATGTGACTAATTTCCACCGTTCACGGATGGGAATTGTCTCATTTGTTACATCAGGCTCAGGAACACTTTTTAACTAAGAACCGATAATAAAATGACCCGGTGTAATGATAGAAAATTCATTTGGGTCCTCAGAAGCAGCCACTAACGGACGGGAGTTAAGTATGGCTTCACTCTCCATTAAAAACGTTGAAAATTCTTCTTGTGAGAGGATCTGCGATCCTATAACACGTCTCATATGAAACTTCATGGATTTAACGGCAGCCTCCCATTGGCCTCCAAAATGAGGGGCTGATGGAACATTCATTGTCCATTTAACACCTTCGTTGGTCAAGTAAGTAACAAGTGCCTCCATCGTACACGCTTTTAAGTAATTCTTTGCACCTATAGAGTTCGTTCCACAATCACTGAATATTTCAGCTGGCTTTCCTTGTCGTCCTGCTACATGTAGTATGTCACTGTTGTCTAAGAGCGGATTTAGAGAAATTAAAGAACTTTTCTTTAACACTTTCGCTTTCTCTAAAGTAGCTATTTCCTTTTTATACTGAGTTCTTTGGACTAGTTTGATTATAATATCATGCGCTTCTTCTAATTCACTTGTTTCTAAGAAAGGATTCAAAATCCTATTCCTCCTCACATTTTTTATAAACTTTAAACACCAAGCGTCAACTCTCTGCAATTTGCTCCAAACTGAAAATTTGTTCCAAAGCTGCTAAACTAATTCCAACTGAACTACAAAACATGGAATTTATTTTATTATCTGTTTCATATTTTATAAAGCATTTATGAGTTTTTGATTATTTACTGAGATTTCAAAGCGATCAGTGGCAACACTGTACGGAAAAAAAAAAAACATTTTTATTTCCAGCGCGCAAGACTGTGTATCGAAAATTCTAAAGAAATACTCTTTTTAAATTATTTTGCGATATTGCTGTTCCTTTTTTTACTTTACTTACTTTACTTATGTTCGAAGTGAGTTTTAGGTTTAAATGCGAAGAACACGATAATTAATAAGTAAAGGTAGCACAATAAACGTGAAAAAAAAGACTCTTTGGAAATAATATAAAATGTGAAACTTTCAGGTTTTTTTATTGTTATTTTCCTTTTTTTTATTAAACTTCTATTTCGCACATCATGTGATATTTTACATTCTTTCACTCCTGTGCAGTTTTTACTTATTTCTTTTACTTTATGCATAATTTCCATCTGCAAAACACTACAAATATTTCGCTTTCATCTCGCTGCTACTTTTAACGCCAGGCTCTTTTTTAAAAGAAATGTCATAAAGTAGAGAATGCGCCTTGTCAAAGCTAAAATTATAAGGTCTTGTTCAAAATTGTAGGATGCTACAATTTTGTATCAATGTTTTATGGCTTTTCTTCTTTCAGAATCTTTTCGTCTAAAGAATAGTTTAGCTAACTGACAGATGCATCTATCTCAAATAAAATGTGCATTCTGAAGCTCCTAAAGAATATATGAAATACTCTATACATCGATTAGTCCTCCGGTATTTGTTTTGAAATGTATATTTTAGTCTTCTAATTTCAGTTAATGTTTTTGTTATAAAGTTTTTTAATTTTGACGTAATTCGATGCGATAAGTTCGCTGTAAAAAAGTTTGACTCACTATTTGTTATTTTGCAATTTTTTATTTGGTTAAATTAAGACATTGTTTCACTTTTGAGCTACATCTTCCTTTATTTAAATTTTCTACATAGGAATTTATTTTATTTGATGTTCTATTGATTACCTAAAATGTAAAATTGATTCCTTTTATTTGATTTTATAGCCTCTATATTCTTCTATTAACATTACTATATACACTATTTCATTTCATTTTATAACTGCAGAGAACGTAAATGACCCAATATTTTGTTTGATATGAAATCGTGACTCCTCCCACCTAACATTATCATGTAACCTAACATTATCAGGTTAAACGTAATTACACTTTAATTTAAATCTTTAAAAATGAAATATTTTTAAGTAATATTTGCTACATTTACTTATTCAAATTGATTTAGGAGATATCTCAGAGTGTGCATGAAATTCTCAAGATTTGGAACTGTTTATCTGAAAACACCAGAATGTTGTACGAAAACTCTCAAATGTTTCAGAAATATTTCATTTTTAAAGCTATGTTTATGCAGCACATTGCTGCAGATATTGAAATTTCGATTCCTTTGTATCTAAGTTTCGTATGAAATATGATATATAGTTAGAAACATGCAGCAAAAAGCAGATGCATCGAATTTTTCTTTTTTCTCTTTTCCTTTTTTTACTTTACTTATGTTTTCTTTGAATAAAATATCCAAAGATACATTGCAAAAGCAGAATATTTTCCATCTCTGTGAACAGCTTGATAATGTTCACAGCCATTGAATATTTATGCAACGCTCGCACAACTTTTCAAAAGGACAGAGAAAGACATTCGGAAGTTGAGCGAGTGTTAGTAAACTGAGATACAAAACAATCTGGACAGTTTAGTTAAATGCGCTCTAGCAAACTTAACTGCAAAATAATAGAATCAATTTTTCAATTTCTAATTACTTTCTCACATTATGCGCAGCCTTAAGTCTTTTTTGAAATACCCCGTTTAAGTGCCAGCCAACATATAACATTCTAAACAACAGAAAAGTGATAATTACTTTTCATTTTAAATTAATTATTCTTTAATAATTTTAAGGTAAATAAAAGTTTTGAATTACAGCGGCTTACACACGACACAATGGAAAGGGTAAATAATAACAAAAACAATAAGCTTCTATTGTGATTGAAAATTAAAGTTTCTTTTTCACGTTATTCAAATAGCTGCTTTCGTTTTTGTTTGATTTGATTGTCACAATACATGTCAGTTTAAATCTAAAGCCACATAATTCAGGAAGCTTCACAAATTGAAAAATATCACACATGAGTAATAAAAAATAAATTTACTTTAATTTAGCACGAAATATTTGCATACTGACAGTCAATTTTAGAGAACGTATTTTTAACAGTTTGCTACTTTTAACGTTAAAAACTTGTCTTGCACGTTTTGAACATTTGAGATTTCTTTTTTACTTAATTATTTATTAAACGTTCTGTTTTATTGTCATTCTAAGCATTGTTATTTATTTCAAATATCTTGATTTATTTCTAATTTTTTAACATTTTGTTGCACATCTTTTCATCAGTTTTATTTAATTCTTATTTATTATAAGAATTTGAAATATGATACATCTGATAGAAAATTGTTCAGTTGTACAAAACTGTACTGTTCAATCAAACGAAAATCAAATTAAAATTGCATTTTAATTTAAGTTAATCATTTTAATAAGTACCATAAATAATGCACTGAAAATACTTAGAAATATTATAAATCTGATATTTTACCCATTTGGTATATATCTACCGTCATTTTGAAGCTTTTCAATGCGATTAAAATGTTCAGTAGGCATTCGTAGAATTTAGATCAAAGTTACATTTACTGCAACTTAAGAACAAATACTTGTGTCTTCAATTTTCAGTGCTGAGCTTTATTTAATTTAGACTCAGAAAACTTCAGAGATCTTTTGGTGTATGTACATAGATTCATGGTGATTGGTCATGTGTACATTATTTTTTTTTTAATTTCTATTGACATTTGCGGCCACATTTCACCTGGCACTCTAATCGTGTCTGATTGAAAACATTTACGTTTCTTATAGCTTTTAGGAGAACGGTTTTGGTTCGAAATAGCTATGTCGTTATCATTATATAAAAATCATATGATGGATTAATCTAGAAACGACGCAGTTCATAAAGTTATTAAGTAAATGCTATTTTTAGAATAGGAAGGGGAAGTACTAAAATTAAAATGATGACTTTAGGATATATTAATAATTTAAGTTATAATTTTTATCAAACCCACACATGCACACACCATATATATATACAGTGGTGGCCAAAATTGTGGACACTTTTGGAAATATTTATGTTTTTGAACTTTGTATGCTTATAGAAAACGTTACGTTCACAAAATGCAAACTTGCATATATCATTTTAAAGAGAATTTATTATTGAATTCAATACAAAACACAAAATTCAATTATTTTCAATACAAAAAAAAGTTAAACGATAATCGTTATCGGTATACATTAGATAGTGATGATTGCAGTGAGTTATATCATTACTTAGTAGGGTACCCTTTATTTTGGATTACAGCTTCACATCGACGTTTCATTGAGCTGACAAGAGTTTTAAGCTCTTCTTTCGTTACTACATGATGCCAGGAAACAATTATAGCCTTAGTTCCCTTTTATTTGATGGGCGCTTCTTTCGGACAAGAGTTTTCAAACGGTGCCACAAATTTTCGATAGGACTGAGATCAGGACTGTTTCCTGGCCATGACAACAATTTAATGCTCTTTGTACGAAACCACTCTTTCGATATTTTGACCGTGTGGCAAGGAGCAGAATCCTGCTAAAAAATAAACGAAGCATTGTTGGGAAAGAGATCTCTGATGGAAGGTAGAAGTTTTGGTTCTAGAATAGTGTCAATGTATTTTCTGGCATTCAATTCTTCTGTCATCAATAGATGTGGTGCACCTTTTTCGGCCTTTTCCTTCTTTGTTTTTTATTGAATTTGTCTCCTGATATCGTAAACAAAACTTTCGGACTCCAGATGTAGTCACTGAACCGCCCACCTGTCTTTCAATTTCAGCATAGGAAAGACCACTTTCTCTTAACACAATAATATTACATCTCTTTCTAGGTGTCGAATCTACTCTTTTATTTGATGTCATTGCTTCTTGACTAAATATTAAAAATTTTTACAAACATTCATGCTTTTTATTGCAGTGTATAAAAACAGGTCCAACTTTTACAGAACAAAGCAAAATAATGAATTGTTTCAAGTGTAAACATGATGTCAGCTTCTACTGGCAGTTACTAACATTTGATTGGTTCTCAGAACAAAAACAGTGATTGGCCAGTAAAGCTAGAGATTGCAAACCACTTGATAATTGTGTTTTTTATTTATATTGAAGTACATATAACTTTTTTTTGTATTGCAAATAATTGAATTTTGTGTTTTGTATTGAATTCAGTAACAAATTCTCTTTCAAATGATATATACAAGTTTGCATTTTGCGAAACGTAACGTTTTCTATAAGCATACAAATATTTTCTATAAACATAAAAATTACCAAAAGTGTCCACAATTTTGACCAACACTGTATACATTGTAATATCTTCTATTATGACAAAAATGACAAAAATCTTTCAATTCTACATATGTTAGTTTTTGTTTCATTATGATACTTTAGACATTGTGAATTAATAACGTTATCAAGCCTAAAATTTGTTGTTATTTGAGATTTATTCCATTAATTATTCTATAATTCTGAAATGCATTCGAATTTCTTTTAGTTTCACTAGTATTTCTTATTTTCAGTATCTTATACAACGGATGATCTGATTTTCGACTGGGAGGAAATTGTTCCTCTGGAAGTCGACGATGCCATTGAATTGCCACAACATAACTTAGTGGAAACAAGACTTGGGGACTGCACACAAGAATATTCCACTGGTAAATTATTAAATTATCCGCAAATACTTTTGAAAATGTTAATAAAACATTTCTGAAAACAAATCTTCCTAAATTTTCACTCCTGTTTATTAAATAATACAATCAATAAAATATGAAATCAACTAGAATTAATTTAGATAAGTATAATAAATCAAAGGAAATTATTATATTTATCTGAAGGTATTTTTAAATGAAAAGTCCAACATAGTAATATAATGTACTTAATGAAAAATATTGCAAAACTGAGTGTCCAAAATTTTCTTTCCATGTATAAATATAATTTTTAATGCTGCATCAAATAATCATTATTAATCATTATTAATGAATGAATAATGCAATTTTAATGCATGATTTTCCTGTAGTTACAAGGCTTTTAAAATTAAAGGAATTCGATTGTGTCTGAAATGTTCTTTATGTTGTGAAATGTGAAGATATGAAAACAAAAAATTTTGGTCGAAAACGTTTTTATATTTTATGCAAAATTATTCTTACAATCTCTTTAAAGCCATGAAATGTTCTTTCAGTGTTTAATTCGCATTTGATATACTTTACAGAAACGTACCATGGCTATAAATTTTGAGTACCTTGAAACTTGGGAATAAAACTAGAAACAAAGTTTAGAACACCACCTTAGAAAATAAAATAATTTGAGTTATTTTATATGTCTATGTATTCTAAATTTATAATTATGTCGATCTTTATCTCACAATAAAATGTTTTAGGAGAATAAACATATAGCACTTTAATTTGTTTTTCAGCAGTTTACTCAAAGCGAATAAAAAGCGTCAGAAATGCAAACATAATAAATGCACATAAAAAGACAATGAAAATGCTTTTAAAACATTCTAAAATGTTTGAGAAGCTCTGAAATTAAAAATGTATTTTCTGAGAATAATTACTTTACTGGCGTTAACATTTTGCAGTCAAATTTCCCTTCTACTTACTAACGAGAATGATAGTCTTATGAAATACAATTTAAAAATAATATGCATTAAGATAAAATTTATATATTTTATATTTCATTATTAATAACTAGCCAATCCATTTTCTCTAATTAAAAATTTCATTTAATTTTATGCTTTCGTTTATTTATTATTATAAAGCCTCGACTGCAGTCCAGCATTTCTAATTGAATATTTGTATTCAAAATGTAATGAAACAAATCTTTTGTTTTCATCTTCAGATATTACTAATCGACTTCACAAAACTTCATTCAAAAAAATGAGTATCAGTGGCTCAAGAGTTAACCGGAGTAATAAAACGTTAAGCATAAAAGACTTAAATTGTTATAGTTTATAATAGTTACAATAAATTGTAATATTTTCTGTAGTAATTTTGATTAGTAATCTGTAATAGATTGTTAATTTCATCGATAGTTTTGTATTTACAAGCTATCAATAATAAAAGATTGAGTGAAAACATCTACTTTGGTCAGAGCATGAGTACTTAAATTTACAAATGTTCATTATTGATTTTTTTAATTTAGTGTGAACTTTGGTAACATAATCGCATTTTTTCGGTCTTTGCACCTTTGTCAAAGTCTGTCACCTTTGTCACCTGGTCTTTGACATTTGTTGGGTCAAAAATTAATTTTCCATTTGAAGTTCTCTTCAAATTTCAAACATAATTAATCTGATATTTCCTAATTAAAAAATTCATTCGAGTTTTCTAGCTATCCTTTGATTGTTCACAATAATCGATACCTTAAACAAAAAGTTTAATTCTGCGTTGTTATCAGTCTCATGAATTTAAGGCATAATTCGATTGGATTCCTAAATCAAATGAAATATTATTGAGGAATGGAGCCCTATCGCATAGCGCAGAAAGCATCGAAAACGTCCATGTCACGAGAATTTCATTTCTGGGCAAAATTGATTTTTCTGCAATCAGAGGCAGCAGACGGTTTTATTTTTAATTTTACATTGTTATTATTTTTTACTTAATTAATTATTAAATGTATCTATGAATGTAATCTTTCTTTAAGATCCGAGGTTCGAATCCCGCGAACGGGCTGCCTGCATGGGCGTTTTCGTGGTTTTCCCCATATGTAACGTGTATACGAGCCAGTTTCCCTTAGAAAGTCCTCCACGAAGACATGCCTTCCCTTAGGCAGATAGCCCTCGATGCTTTGCCATAATCACACACACGCACACCACACTATTGATACCAATAGAGAAACGTTAATCGTAGGTCCTAAAGTTTGAAATGGTACTATCTTCTGTCCCTTGAGCTATAGTTCATCAAGAGTTTATTGGAAAAGCATAGTAAACCGAAACACAATTATTTTTATTAAAAGTTTAATTGTATGTCTAAAAATGCTTTAAAAATATGATGTTGACAACACATGACTTCCTTGTACGGCCTATTAAACTATACACACTTTTTGCTGCCTTTTATTTAAGCTCAGTTAGCTTGATTATTCTAATTAACCGATCAAGGCAAATTGAAAATAGCATAAAAAATTATAACCTTTGAAATTAAATAGTCCTTTTAATTTTTGTCGTACGGTAGTCAAACTACTTCTAATTTTATTTTTCCATAACGACTATAAAACGTTCCCACATATAAATGTAGGAACCCTGAGACAGCATCAAATGTTAGATTTCGTTAGTTTTCGAAAACTACATTTTGTGAATCTGATATTGCCAAAGCATGAATAATTTCTTCATTTAAAACACGTCTATGATTGAAAGCATATGAGTACGACCAAAGATAACCGCAATAAAAGCCGAAAAAGGGCACACACACATATTATATACAGTCCCATATTCAAAGTTTCAGTGCTCTACGTCTAATAATTTTATAGTTATGCGAGATACATACATAAGTACAGACATCACGAAAAATTGCCTTTTGAACCATTCTAAATGGCTTTTATAATACGTTTTGGAAAGAATGGTCAATTATTCCGTCTGTACGTATAGATAACAAGCAAAAAATTGTCCAAATTGATTCCAAAAGAGTCAAAATGGATATTTCAATCGAAATATGGTATTGGAAGTTTTTCGAGATTACTGCAATACTTACTTCCTTTATTTCGTAGAAGAAAGTAAAAATGTTCCTTTGCAAAGACATTTTATAATATTCTTTCATTTTAAAACGATTCGCAAAATATCTGAAGCCCAATAGCATAATACATGCCACAAGGGAATGACATACCTAAAATTAATGCTCTTGGAGAAACATGACATTAAGATATGCGGTAGAATATGTTACGTCTTTTATATTTAGTTACATAACGCCCAAAGAGTGCCAGACACAAACCAAGCATAAGCGTAATAATATGTCATGTCAACTAATGCTCCATTCGTAATAAGATTAGAAGCATAAATGTCTCACGTTCACGTCCGTAGAACATTTTTCTTGCACTTTTATCTCACTTTTCAGACGGTTTCGATTTTCCTCTCCGCAGCCAGGACAAGTCTTAGAGCTTAGTCTATATTACTACCGAAATAAAGGTAATAATTTTTAGTTAGATAATATTTGGAGATCTGAGATTTGGAATGAAAAAATCGATATTCATATATTCCTTTGAAAAAAAAACGTTAAGGATGGCCGAACAAAATATTATTTTGCCGGCTCTTTAAATATATTCTTTTTTCCCTTAAGTCATGTGTTGATAAGAATTAATATCTGTGGAAGGTACTTTTTAGCACAAAAGAGGTTATTGGTTTAAAAATGGGGTTTTGCGTCGGTTCGCTATAAACGGCGTATCACTTTTCAAATTGTTGCCACCAGACATAAACTTCCAGTATTCTTTTTAAATTGTATAATGAAGAATGTACATGTGTGTAGTATGCAAGTTCCTAGAATTGAGAAAAAAGACTGTACTAGACCCATTAAATTTTGAGTAAGGTTGTCCTACACCCGAAAATGCGCACCTAGAAGCCCGAATTTTGAATATGAAATTTTATCTATTATTTGTGTCAATTTTTGTAAAACTATAATTAATTTTCGATTAACAAACTCAAAGATTTGTAAGCGAGCAGAAATACCATCAAACGAAATAAAACATTTTAATCTCCAAAGCGCCAGACATTCTGTCGGAAATTCTAAAGAAATGTTGTTTTTTAATAGTTTGTGATGTTTTGTTGTTCAATTGAAAGTGCGTAGAAAATGATAAATAAAGCTAACAAACAAAATGTGAATAATAAAAAGACCAGAAAAAAAGGTTTTGTAAGCCATCTTGGTAAGAAAACTAAGCATTGATATGATAAATTGAGAAAAGACTGAAAAAAATAGAAAAAAGTATGCCAGCACTTAACGCTGCATCGGGAATTCTAAACATGTGTTGTTATGCTGGTTTTAATGCTTGACATTAAAGCTAGGAAGACAAAAAGTTAACAGGAGTGATTGCAACAATTGGCTGGTAGACGGTGAGCGAGCTCAGCGAGAGCTTAAAAAAAAACCCTTAGAAAATCCTTTAGGGCGATCGTTAAAATCTGAATCCTTTCAGATATTTTCTTTTACATTACACAGGATATAAATCATGAAAACTTCATTTAAATTTTCTCATTTGAATTCCAACTTTTCGTTAATTATCATTCATTTTCTTTTTTTTATTTTTAATTTATCTTTTATTTCTTTTCGTACCCGATTTGGATGTTTACATGTTGGTCGAACCTTACATGAGAGGGCTTTTTAAGATGAAAATGTATGTGATATATTTTAAAAAACTAAAAGAAACAGAGGAAGCAGAGTGAAATTACATTAAAAAAAACTCTATATTAGGTCGAAAGCAGACGATAATTCTAATGAAACATTTGAAGCATATGGAGTCAGTAACATTTTTATACATTAGAAAATTAACACAAATGTTCATATTTTATTTCTTAATTATACCCCTATAAATGTATTATAAATTTATTAATACGATACATTTATTTAAAAAATAATTAAATTTCTAATTTTTAAGAAATATTTTTACAGCTTTCGAATCGCTTTTAGTCTTAAACAACTACCATTACAACAATTTATATTAATATAGGGTATATATTATGTATAGGTACATTATATCCCTTGCGCCATGTCGAAGGCAACACATAGAGACCTGGCTGTTTGTAAACCTGGCTGAGTAGTAGGTAAATAAAAGGCTTAAGTCTTGTGGGGAAATGATATAGTTTGATTTGGACTGTAAATCCGTCAATGAAAGCTTGAGATCATTCTATTTTTAATTCTTAGCATTACGGCAGATAACTTCTTTCTGATTAAATTATCGGAGACATCTTCGCTGTTTGAAAACGAAAAATTAATACAAATGTTCTCATTTAGAATATGTTAAATTTAGAATCGCCCAGTACAGAGATCTCAAAACTTGGAAAAAAATAAAAGATGACAACGAAACTCTAATTAATGTTTGTAATTTTTAGAGAAGTTATTTAAAGATTTTGATCATACTTTCTACATTAATTTATACATAAATTAGACACAGATTATTTTTTAATTTTCAAGGAGAAAAATGAAATACGTTCCGCAAGAAAATGATAGCAGTAAAAGATAAAAAAAGACCTTTTGTAACTTGCTGAAGGAAAATGCAATAAAAACCAGATCACGATATAAGCTAAAGATACAAAACTAAATGTAAATAAGGATTAGGATTTGAATTATGGACTAGAATAGAATGAGTTTTATCGACATGAAAATCGCTAGGTAATACTATTGAATGAATTGTCTCGGAAATAAACGCTAGTTGAAGTAGATTTTCTAGAGAATTCTGGCAAAAGAAAAGTGGATTTTTTAAGAATATAAGTTTCATTTTTATTAATAGGAAATGTTCACACTAATCTGATGAGTCCAATCAGCTACCGTCGCAAAAACTGCTGTAAATACCATAAGAATTTCTCTCTAGGGTAAGTGTCGAAAAGTAAATTCAGGTCAATTGAGTAGCATTTTAGGATTAAGGGAAGAAAATAATAGAATAATTACCAATGTGTAATTCTTTTGAATGTAATGACAATGCATCTCAAATGTTTCAAGCATGCATTTTCTGTATGTAAAAGAAAAGGAAAAATGTATAAGGAAACTCTGCTCGGAAAAGTGGGAAAGGCGTTGAAAGAAGGCTAGACCTGTTGCCTTCTGATCTATTAACGCAATTTTTATTAACTCAATTTTTATTGTCATGTTAACTCTTTTGTTAATTAGAACTTATCATTGAATGAAACGTCGTCTGCGGCTGAGGGAATCCAGGAATCCTGCGTGACCTAAGAATAATAATGAAACTAATGTGTTCAGACTTCTTTTTGTGACGATATGACGATACCAACGATTTTTCTGTAAATGCAATATTCTTGATATTTTTCTCCGTAAACAGGTGGCAGTTTGCAGAACTAGGAGATTTCCGAATTTATGTTCTCTGCTAAGCCAAGATATCGTAGAATTTCTTAGCAGGAAATGACTGTAATTATTCATTGAAAGTTCCTAAGGATCTTTCTATTTTATAATGCTAAATCTTAAATTTCATTTTCACTGCCATCATTTGACATATTTAAGTAAATAACACATTTATGATTTCGATAATCTGTTACACTAATGGAAGCATATTTTGCTTATATGTTATATTAGTAGATATAATTAGTTTAATAGATGTAATTTAGCTTACAAAAATGCTTTAATTCAATGAGTTCAATAAGAAAAATTATACTAAAAAGTAAAATGTACTTCACATATATATTCTTATATATATTTAATTCTGATTCTGATTTTAATACATCGAAAAATGCTCTTTGTAGAGAAGAAAGACATAATTATAAACGATTAGTGAGAGTTTATTGATGCATGTTTATTGGTTTTGGCAATTAGTGTGTATTTGATTATGATTTTGTCTCATCACTGAATTAGTAAGTGTGAGAAAATCTGCTCTCTTGAAAGTGGGAAATAAAAATTCCTTTTTAGTATTTTTTAATAATTATTTATTTATTTTCTGAGTATATAGCCTAACATCGTCATTCAATAAATCGGGCATTTTCTGCAGTTAGTTATTTTTAACACTGTTTTATTTCATCGAAGTCTGTCTGAAAGTATTGGATATATTTGCTAAATTTGATTTGAATTTATTTGATAAACATAGCATAGAATAGTTTCGTGAGTAAACGGTATTGTATCTTAGAGAGTTAGAAGTTGTCGTGCCTTATTTAAGAAATTATTAAAATTTTATGCCGTCCAGTCGGTATAGTGGTCAGGGAAGCGGACTGTGATGCCCAAAGTGCCTGGGTTCGAATCCCGGAGAAGGCATGGTTGTAACTGTCCGTCCCTTCATAGGAAAGGCGATGGTGGCCCACCTCTTAGGTGCCTCCATAATAAAGAGACCACCACATCCGGCCTTGTATAGATTTATGGACTGGGTTACATTTGTAATTGTTCACAATCTGCCATTGGAAAAAAAATAATGTTTTTTGTTTTGAGATGCAAATTAATTTTCAAGACTTGATGTATTAAGTTCAACATATTTAATTGCTTTGATTTTCTGTGACCTGTGATAAATATTTCAGTGTAGTTCTTTTCCTGAGGTGTTCTTTGTAAAAATATGAATTTGGAAATTAATGATACACTGCGTAATGAGCATGTCAGAAATGAGTATCTCGATTATTGTTTTCTACGTAGTTAAGAAAGCAAAGATTTACTGCGGTTTAATGTGAATATTTAAAACATTTCTGCGATTAATTGTATTCCTAATCAGAAGATATCAATGTTACAACTATTTTTAAATATATAATTTTAATCGTCAGCTTCACTTGTAGATTGATTAGCTGACGCATTACATTAGGATTTTTGATGCAGGAGAGATGGAAAATGAGCAATGCCCTCACCCGAACTCGAACTATGGACCTCCCGAATATGCAACCTGTGTGCTGACCATTACACCACGAAAGCATGCTAAGAAGGCGGAAGAAGTACTTTATTTATTTAAAGTAGCTGACATCTGATTAATCAATAAATTATTAAACTTATCAGTGTTATGGAATAAGAAGGGTGTTGTGCATTACACGCAGGTAAATGCACATCATACGAGTAATATTAAAACAAATGTTAAATGTTAACCTGTATTTATAATTGAAAAGTCAATGCTACGTGGCTGTCAAAACAATCCTTAAATCTATGGTTTTTAAGTTTCATTAATCATAATATAGAATCACATGAATAAACTTTAAAATTATTAATTTCTAGCTCCAAGCTGCAATTTCAATAAATAGCACTGGTGAGAAGCAGGGATCTAGTGATGTACCGTGTAGAACTTCAAATTATTTATCATTATCTATGCTGCTGTTCATCAGCCAGAATTTCGTAAAAAGTGCTACTGATAGCTGTCCATTGTTAAATAACTGCTTTGAGTAATTACCCAGAACTAAACGAAACTGTCCAAGAAGTCAATGCAATTACTTCAAAATGATGAAAACAATCATCCAGGAAGGCTCTGCAGTGTCAGATTAGAACTTCTTTCTATTCTTGCTGTGACTCATCTCGCTTGTGTGAAATCAGAGCAAGCTTACTAAAGTCAGCGTAGCAAGGAGTCAAGACTGAGCATGTCGTTGGCAAGAGCCTTGGGCACCATACAGGTGACAGTACGACTTTGCTCAGTTCCGCCCCAATTTCGAAGAAAACCTTCCCCCCCCGAGGATACGGGTATATATATATATATATATATATATATATATATATATGTATATATATATATATATATTGTATATATATATATATATATATATATTATATATTATATATATATTACTCGTATTAATCCCATGCTAATATACATTTACAAATGTCCATCCCTTACAAATACCCGAGCCCTTCAGTACGGTAGCCAGTGTCGCTAACCAGTATCTCGGAACCTATCTTTTTTTATTGCAGGAAGTCAGCAAAATGGAAGATAGAACAATAAATATATTAGTTCAGTTATCAATATTTTGCTTTCCAGTTTAAATGGAAACCAAAATTCAGTCTAATATTCTCAAACTAACGAAATATTTAATTATACGATAACTAAGAAAAATTAAGTAGATATTTAATGTTTATTTTAACATACATTGCAAAGTGCGCACTAATATATACACATAGGGATAAAAGCCCTCAAAGGCTGAAAACTCTAATAAACGATCCACTTTGATAAAAATCCACATGCCTAAATAGGCTTATGGTTTCTATCAATATAAAATGTGTTTAGGATTGTTATTGTTATAAATGGATTATTTGAGTCTGATTTTTGTTGTCTCAAAGCTGTGAATATTTATATATTTTGTCACTACTTTATTTTTTATTTCAGGTCAAAAACACATTTTCTGCTCTCAGATTAAATTATTATCTGTAATGCATCCTTGATGAATCTGAAAATTTTATCTATTTATTTATTTATGTTTGTGTGTGTATGCGTGTGCGAAAATAAAAAAAAAAAAAAAAAATATCATTGTGAAGTTCCTGAAAAGCTGCTTTTAAGATAATATATTTAACAATAATTATACGTCTGTTTCAGTTATCAGTTAAAAATGAGGGAAACTTATTTAATCAAAAAATAGTATAAATTGTTATAATTTATTTAAAATTCCTTTAGCTCTTCAACTGCAGTATATTTTTGGCGGACCCAAACTTTCCACAGACGTTAGCCATCACTTTATTATGGAGGTATAATAGGTAAGCCAGCTTTGTCTCCTATGAAGGGACGTACAAATAAAAGCATGCCTTCTCTTGGACTCGAACCCGAGACCTTTGGTATCGCAGTAGACTTTCCTACCCACCATACCGTCTGGGAGGCTGAGCTGCAGTCTAAAGCACTATTATCGATGATAAAATTCTGCGATAGATACTTAAAAGAGAGTACTTAATAGCATTGATAAATTTGTAGGTGCTTCAAATGATATGTTCAATAATATTATTGTTTTAAGACCGCGATGTTTTTTAAACGTTTTGTTTCCTACGACCCCCCGATGTTTAGAATTGTGATGGTTTCATCCTACTTTCTTTTCTCTCGCGATATTATATACGACCACTGTTTCGCCTTGCGTTGTTTTTTCCGCGGCCTTTTCATCCGTGATGTTTTCGGCGGGCACCAAGTAATCTTGTCTAAGGAAATACATAAAGTGTTGCGCCATTTAAAAATATTGGTAGCAGATCGAATAGAAAAAGAATTTCTCTCCATGTTTTTTGCATATAAAAGAAAGTCATTAATTTTCTAGAAATGTAAATGTGTTTACTTTACTTTCTTAATAACGTTACACTTTTAGAAAATTAATGGTTTCCCAAGGCTTCATCAGCATTGTTTATTGTTTTTGAAGGAAAGCGATTGCATTTTCCCATTAATGTAAGAATAGTTTTTTTCCTTCGAGAAAATTGAGTCACTAAACGAGTCACCATTTATGAAGTGATGATATTTTTCATTACGTTTATTCAAAGCCAGCTTAATACTCAGTGTATTAAAGATAAAGATAAAAGTTTTTCCTTTGGTGCTGATGCTGAATCTTAAGCACTTTTTAAAGAGGAAAATAATAGGAGGTTTTTTTCCCCTTTCTGGTAATTTCAGTTTTTTTTTTTTTTTTTTTTTTTTTTTTTTTTTTTTTTTTTTTTTTTTAACTGTAAATCCAACTCCTTGTGTTCCATAACGTGTACCACGAAGTTTACACAAGCAAGTTATAGTACTATGCAAATAACTAAACAAATGCACAACAGTATTGAAATAGGGGAAAACATTAAAAAAATTAAGTAAAAGAAAAAAAATTGTAAAATTAAATAAGGAAGTAAAATAAAGAGAAAAACAATTATCTAAAACGCCTCTTAAATCCATAAAAGTTCAGAAAATGTGGAGGCCAGGATAAAGGACGTGCATTAAAGTATCATTCGCTGTTGGACATGAAAAACGTAC